AAAGAGCTAAGCTGGGGTATTTATAGGGGAACGTCTGAGGAATAATACCTACAACTTGCATCCTTATCATCTTAGAATAATGTAGTAGGCATCTGAGTCACCATCTACTAGTGACAATATAGCACAAAATCGAAGATTTTCATTCATCTCTTTCTGGACACGGGAGCCACAAGGTAGAGAAGTAAAACTATAAATAATCTTTGAATAATATAGTAGGCATCTGAGTCATCATCTACTAGTTACGGGAGGACAAAAAACTATAGTATATCAGTATCTACAAGATTTGCCATATTATCTTTGATTTATCAAAAATGCGATGATGGATATTCCATGCAAAACCAGAGAAGGAGAATTAGGGATACCTTCTTATTCCATGCAAAACCAGAGAAGGAGAATTAGGGAAAAGACTTTGGAATGTTGCTTGATTTCACATGAAGATGATTCCTTATAAAAATGCATTTTTGGAATGCGTCTCAGGTTCAATCTCATGAAAATCCTACTCCTTGATAATCAGATTCTACCTCGTAAACACTTCCATAAAACTTAAGCTTTAATTATATATACCAGAAGAGTAACAAAGCTGTAAAAAAGTTGCAAGGGTTCACATGTGAGAGTAAATCCTTAATAGATGATTATGGAAATTATACGGAACACTAAAGCCAAAATTGTGTCAAATAAGATTTCCAACAATTTGAGTAGTCTCACCTTATAATTTCAGCAACAACAAACCCAAGAGAATCATGAAACAAATCTATCACGCATCTCTTCATTACAAGCAGCTCAACCTCAGGATTGTCATAGATTGCAGGAAGATAAACCTCCCCAGGACCCTTTATATGCTTGTCCCAAAGAGCAATGAACTTAAATAGTTTTTTCAAAAAATCCATGTTTGCTCGGTTGTTCCAAGAAGGCACTCCTTATATGCCTGCAGGACATGGTGTGCTTAGAATCAATTGTCTAAGACTTTACGCATCTCATATAGTACAATGTTATCACCTCTTCAATTTAAACACCCAGAGTTTCTTGACAACAAAAGTAGTGACTCATTGGATAATGAAGCACATCACGCCCAAGACAGAAATTGCACAGGATAATTATTAGATGTTTACATTCTTGAATTGTCCATTTCAACCATTTTCTAGAACATTTATCTGCTAATATACTTCTGCAAAGAAAACTACTTTGAGACTTAAGAAAGGGGGAAACAAGAAACTATACGGCAAGTGTATAGTATCCAGGAAAGAATGTAACCGGTGACTGAAAGTAAAGATTATGCTGATATTCGTGCAACCAAGCAATCCACCGCAAAGTGAAAACAATAAAGATTCTGATCACTTCACCAATATCCTCACCAACTAGATTCTTGCGTTCACATGAACAGAAAATAAAAATATAAAGGATGCTAGTATAAAACCTTGCTATGCCTAGATTTCAGGCTTTCTATATTCATGGGGGGAAAAAAGAAAGTTCTTTAAGATAAACTTTAAATGATACAAACATGGGAGATACATATATACATATATAATATCATTGTGGTGAAAATAAGAATCTCTGATCTTTAGCTCTATTTGGCAGAACCAGATCCAAGAGTGTCATGAAACAGATCTGCCACGTATCACTTCTGCACATGACGCTGAACCTCAGGATTGTTAAAACTTGATGGAAGATAGGCCTTCACCGGTACCCTTTATATGATTTCACCAGAGTGCAATGAATTTCTAGCGGAAATAATTCCAAGTGTCTTCAATTGTCTTAAAAATCCACTCCTTATAGCCTACAATATAGTGTGTCAAGACATCCTTCAATGATAGGTACATCCTAGGGCTGCACAATGGAAAGACTGGACCAAACCAGACCCCAACGCAAAGTCTGGTCTGATTTTTGATTGGGTTAGGTTTGGTAGTCTGTGGTCTGTTCCAGTCCAGTGGTCACCCGATGTTGGGTTGGACTGGACTTGGTCCACTAAACTAGTAGACTGGTCTAGGCAGTCCAGGTTTTCAATTTTCTTTTTTTTTTTTCAAATTTTTTTCTTTATAGGAAGCAAGATTTCAACATGATAAATATAATTTAAGACAATAAAAAATACATATAATGATATAAAACTTAAGACTTCATCATATATACATAAAAATCTCTAAAAACATTAAAATAAATTAAAGGTAACATCTAAATTATAAATTATTAAAAAATAAAAAATTCAACTCAACTGGACAGGACCAGTCCATCGATCACTTGGTCCAAAATCCAATCCAACCCGACCAACTAGTCTGGTCTAGTCTAGTCTAATTTTATTATATAGTTTATTTGGATTTGATTGGACCGGACCACTTCGGGTTGGATTGGACTGAACCGGACCATAGGTTTTTGCACACCCCTAGTACATGCCACGTTTCATTATGCCATACACTCTGATATGCAATGGCAATAACTTGACTAAAAGGAAATTTCTTGCCTCATAAAGGTGAAGATAACACAATGAATGAACACAACAGGGCAAGTCAGAAAAGAAGTCAAAGTGAGTTGCCACCAATTCATGTTGCTGGAGCTGGATTGGAAGAGTTCACAGTTATTGAAGCCAAGAAAATACACTGATCCTGAACCTGATATTAAAAAATAAATACCCAGGATTATTGTAAGTTCCCACAAACCCAGAACGAATATCAAAGTAAGAGCACCGATTTATTTGTCAAAAGCTCTGGTAATTTATTGGAATTAACATTGTCTATGAAAATCACCAACGATATGATCGTTTTCCGCATTTATCGAAAGCAGTTCCTCAGGAAAACTTGAGTGAGTTAGTTGGAGGGGAGAAACTTGAAATCGGAACGAGGGAGAAAAATTTGGACCATTTCTCGATTTGTTCGTGTCATCTTTGCGCAGGGGCCATGCTAATCTTCTCTGTATCGTTCCAATTTTATCGGATGTCCCGAAGGGATGAGCCGCGGCCTCTGCTTCGCATATATAAACAAAAGAGCTGTTAGAGGTTTGCATGATGTGGGACTCGTACTGAAGCGACTTAGGTAGGCAAAAGTCGCGCCCAACGTCACTAGACGGAAGGCTAATATTCATGGGAACCTTTCAGAGTAGCATTACTATCAACGAAAGCATAGATAAAGTAAAGAGAAAGACGAGAGTATTGTCGAAACTTTTCCGTCACTGTATGAGGAAAATATTTTGACCGTGAGCCCTCCATCTCAAGGCCCTTCACGTAATTGGACTTCCATACTCAAATCTGCCTAGGATGAAAATAGGCCAGACAGCCTGTTAGGAACCTGTAGCCTAGTTTGTATTTGGCCTGGTTTGGTCTGACCTATTTTAAAATAGAAAAAGAGTGAGGTCTTTTTTATTGCCTGTTTAGCCTAATAGGCCAGCTGGCCAGGCCTAGGCTTTTTGAAAAACCTGTTAGGCCTGTCAGGCCTGGCCTAACCTATTTTTTATCTTATTTTTAATTTTTATTTTGTATTTATATCTAATTTTATTTTAAATTTTGATATATAATTATAACTTGTTTTTAATAATATTAATTATAATTAAGATTTAAAATATTACTCATGACATTAAAATTTAAATAAAAGATAATAATAAAAAATTATTATTATGTCGTATGTATATTTTACATTTTTTATTGGCCTATGTATTTTGTACTATGTATTTTGAAAATTTTAAAATCACAGGCTTTTTTAATTAGGCTAGACCAGGCTTTTATACAAGCCAGGCTCAGGCTAAAAAAAAAGACCTATTACAAGTCACAATACAGGATCAAGTCAGGAAAAAAAAAAAAAACCTATTACAAACCACAGGCCAGGCTCAGGCCAGCATGTTACTAAACAGGCCTGGCCTGTTAAGGACAAAGCCTGGTCTGGCCTGACCTGTTTTCACTCCTGATCTGCTAACAAAAACTTTTTCTTTTTCTTTTTTTTCCTGAAGAACTACAAACAAGTACTTCAAACAATAATAAAAGCACAGCCAAAAACCTACAAGAGAAGAAGCTAGTCCCATAACATGATAAACCAATATTCAAAATCCTGCTAAAAGATATGCTTATATTTAATGTCCCACGGTATCTCAAAATAAAAGAATATATGTGCCTGTGAAATGAAAAAAAAAAAAAAAAGGCACACCCAGAAAGCTGAAGAAGCATTATCCCGACACACACCCACCCGCATCTTCAAAAGTTTTTACAGCGACTTTCAGATTTTTACAATACCATTTCACATTGAGGACTAGAAGTGGAAATGTTTTCCTAATGCCTTGCCTCATGTGGTTCTGTGTTCAAGTCTGCTGGTGTCGTTTTTCACAAAATCGCGTGTGAAAAGTCACCTTTCCGCAGTATAGAGAGGGGGGGGAGGGGGAATCCTTGCAGAGTCAAGTTTTTGAGGTAACAGCATGAACCTGCCTAGCTCACCCGTGAATTTGACGAGTATGCATACTTTTGTTCACTATACTAGCTCATGTTTAGGTTTCATCCCATAGGCACCAATAAAGAAGAGTTGCAAGTTTTTTTTCCTCTAAAAATTCATTTTGTTTTTTTATATTTATCCATTTTTTCAAATTAAAATTCTTTAAAAAAATTACAGAATTTGAAATAGAAATTGGCAATTCTTCCACATGCGCTCCATATTCCACATGCAAACGATTATGTGCACATATCATCTTGACTATAGAAGGTCTTCTAACCTAACAGAACTTCCTAATTGCCGTATTTGGTATTCTAGTCTTTCCACAGGTTTCCCAAGAAACTGCTCAAAGAAGTCGCCACTATAACCACTTCTCATCATCCTCTTGTTCAGTTCTGTCACAGATTCATTTCTCAAGTTATTAAACTAGTCCACGGTTCCACTTATTCCCTGACCTGGCTTTAACCACGGGCTAAGTGCATAACCCTCCTTTCAGCCACACATAATCAGCAGCAGTCCCTTTGATCCTCCACTGCTACATATGGGTCATCTCATGATACAGCACACAAGTCTCCGCTCTTCTCAAGATTCTTGTTGGGAGGATTACGTGAAAAGATACTATTATTGAGTACAAAACTTATTGCAGTACATGTCAATGGAATACATGATGGGATGTGCACTGATATATCTGACGGCATAATTAGGAAACAAATCCCTCAGTATGAAACAGCAAAATTTGTATTCTCTTGTAAATAATATTGACGGTCAACAACGTCATGCAGTTCATGGGAGATTTGATTATAGGAAGACTCAGTATTCCATCTAGGTATAGATAGCTAAACCTCGCCCCTGACCCCAGGACTAAATTTGGCGAATTGCTGAAATAACTTCAGTGATCCCTTCAAACGTCCTTCTTTCCTTGAGAATCGACTTTGCTAAATTGAGTGCCCGGCGTTCACATGTGGCTCGTTTACTAGCATCAGTAATGGATTCAAAATCCTCAACATGGGCCACCCCAACAATTCTCCTGCCAATCAAATAATTAAGGAGAAAGCTTAAACAAGGATTTCCAAGTACAGTATACACCCATTTCACGTTATTCACGACATACTTTCTCAATAAATATCAAGTACCACTATAGACTTTAAATCTACCACGAGACTGAAATCTATAGCTTGTTTAATGTGAATCTATAGCACTTGCCTTTTGGAAAATCACTTAAGGCTGTTGTTCGCCTATTTATGTGTAAGGCAGTGCAAGCCATAGCAAAGCTATATAAAGGTTGCAATGCTACACACTGATGCAGCGTCAAAAGTCATAGCGTCGAACTACAAGCTACGGTGAGCTATTAATAACTATGAATAGTGTGAAAATGTGAGCTACTCAATTAAACTAGCACCATTTTGATGCTTGAAAGTATTTGCCTGTATGCGTTCGTGTGCTGCTAAAAATCTTGCAATGGAACCGAGGATGAGAATACACAGAACTCGCATAACATGATTATAAAAATAACATCATCATGATAAAAATACAAGTCTTTGAAGCAGTCTCACCTTATCATTTTGGCAGCACCAAATCCTAGAGAATCATGAAACAAATCCATCATGTATTTCTTCTGTACAAGCAGCTGAACCTCAGGATTGTCATAGATTGCAGGAAGATATGCCTCACCAGGACCGGTTTTATGCTTGTCCCAGTTAGCAATGAATTTATAGTGAAAAAGATTCCAAGTTTCCTCAATTGTCTTGAGAATCCACTCCTTGTATGCCTGCATGACATGTGGTGTTTAGGATCAATTGTCCATGACTTCATAGATTCAACATGGTATAATTTTGTCACTTCAATTTAAACACCTACTGTTCCTTCTCTTGACCACAATTAGATTCATTTCGTGACAAAGCACCATTTATTACATGAGATAGAAAAATGCAAGGGCGTACAAATCTATAACTATCCAAGAAGGCAGCAGATTTGGGAAACATAGATGGTTCAACTGCTTGAATGCTTTAAGGGTTCCCAAATGATATCACACATATTACATGGATTTTCATGGGCTAACACGAAATGTAGCACACTTTACATGAAATTTAAATAGATTCAGTCAGTTTGGCAACAGATATGAAAGCAAGTAGTCAATTAATATAAAAGGGGGCAAAAAATCTAAGCTTAATATGAAAGCAAAGCTCATAACAACTGAAGAGTCATTCAAAGCCTTATTAGATTAATCATACGCACAACATCAGGAACTCAAGTCATGAATATCAACATTAACAAAATTTGCCAGTCTATGGTTCGTCCGAATGCAAAGGAGACCATAAGAGTAGAAAATCCTACGTCATTTGGTTCAAATATAGCCTCAGCGGGAATCACTATGCAAAAACTGCGAAAGGGGCAGAGTTGAAAAGGTAACAGTCACATAAGCTCTAAAGCATGTGATTTTTATAACAAAATGCTACAGAACGCTAGCATGAGAGAACTTATAGATTGTGTGAGACAAAATTAGATTACAGATATCAATAATCACTAAATCATACAAGCGTATAAAACAGGGAAACAGATGTGTAGAAATTGGGACCTACTTTTCTATCATTCACTTGATCAGAATGTCCATCTTGAGCAAAGAATGCCAACATCAAGTTTCCCAGGAATGCTCCAATGTCGAATCCCATTGGCCCATAAAATGCAAATTCAGGATCAATAACTTGAGTTGATTCACGAGTAACCATGACAGAACCAGTGTGCAGATCTCCATGTATCAGTGCCTGGGCCCTCTCACAGAACCTACAGAAAAGTTCTTATAAAAGAACAAACTAAAGCAACAGGGCTGGTCATGTGAAAAAAGATACATAGTAGAGGCAATACTTGGATTTCAGCTCAGCAACTTCAAGCTTCAAAAGATTATCTTCTCGAACAGCTTCAGCATCACGATCAAGGTAAGGGGCAGTCCAACGATTATATTGAGAAATCTTATAAGGGTCGGAAAAAACAACCTGCTCAGTAAGCCTGCATAACTCCACATTCCCACAAAATTCGGCAACTGCATAAAGCCATTATGCACTCAGACTCATAAGCAACATGTCTTGCAGAGCCATTTATAGATATTCTTATAATCACAATTTCGAAACTACAAGTTTAAGGATCCGGATCACTAATATTCTTATAATCACAAAGTGATAATTATTTATTGTGTCAGTATTCTGACGCAAAGTTTGAGCATCCGGTAATATACAGTAGGTGTACGGGAGCAACGTATAAGCTACAGGTAGCTGAGCAGGTGGATCACATTTTCCAGTGTAAACTAGCCTAAATGAGCACTCTCAGCACAATTAATTCTTAAGCTACAACTTTATCAGTTCTAAAAACAGTGACTTGTATAAGAGGACAACCAGCAGCAGGTCTATAAAACCAAACCAAAAATAAACAATCTGAGAAATTGAAAATTACAATTTTCTCCATTGACATAAACTGAAGGCATAGCAGCACAGTCAAACACTGTCAGTAGATGATAAATGAGCATCATCATCATAATACACGGCGGAGTTTCTAAACAGAACAATTCAAATTATCGTAAAACAAGAGGAGCACATGAGGCAACAAATAAAGAAAAGTAGCAGATTACCATCTCTTTTGTGCTCAGTAGTGGTACGGAAAATTAAAGATGTAAAAAACAATGTGTTAGCCATGTAATCTGAAATATGTTCTGCCAGTAACGGATACTCAATTCCAGCAATCAGCCCTTTTCGCAGGATTATGTGTGGAGGCTCGATGTAACGCATGCCAATTAAAGACATAGTACGGTCAAAATGATAAACTTCTGGGGTATGCTCCGGGCAAAAGCGACCGTGTTCTTTCAGAGCCAGTGCCTCGAAATATGCTCTCTCCTTTGTCATAGGCCATGATTCGCCTATGCAACGAACATACGGGAGAGCCTACAAACATATATTGGAATATTTTAGACATAGGTAAGCAAACGCCAAAATGAAAACACAACGCCGAATACAGGAACTTCTCGATTTCAGAAATTTCGATGAACGCCTCAATCAAAGCAACACCCTAACCTGTTTAATGACAAAAGAACCAGAAGAGTTGAAGACAATGAAGACAAAGTTGAGGTTGCCATCTCCGACTTCTTTAATGGTTAAATCATCGAACTTGTTCCCAAGCTTGGAAGACAGAAAAGGGGTAGCCTTTATGTAATCAATCAGCAACTTCTCATCCAGCGGACGAAACTCCGTAAAAGCCATTATCAGCAGCAACGGCGGTCGATGATTCCGGCGGCGATCAGAGATAGTGGTGGTAGTAGCAGACTAGCAGTAGTAGTAGGGTTTTGAGAAGTGGGTCAGTCCCAGAGAGCAGAGATTGCGTGAAAATCAAAATGGCATCTTTCGTGATTTATCAAGAGGGATCGGAGTGGGTTCAGTGACTTGGAATACTAGGAAGCAGCTGGGACCCGTACAGTCTAGGGGGAAAAAGAATAGTGAAGAGACTGAGGAGGGAAACTTGGAGGTGCAACGAACCTGGTCGTTATATTGATCCGTCAACTATATTTAAGGGTGTGTTTGGATAGAAACCATACCATGGTTTCAGAAGTGCTTTTACGGATTACGAAGTAAATATATGGAGGAGATTATCTCGTTTTGCGGAAAAGTGCTTCTGAAACCGCGGTTTTGGAATACCCAAACAGGCCCTTATTCTGCAAGGTACACATTTTAGGATGAAGAAAAAAGCATGGATCACGCGTGGATATGAACGAGAATACCACAAAACAAATTCTAATTGGCTACGGACTCTGGATTTCCAATTTTCGCAGAAGAATATTATATGGTGCAGACATGGGTTATAGATAGTTGGCAAAAGACATGGGTTATACAAGTTTTTTTTTCCTCATATTATTTCAGTTCAGTTCATCTATTCTTTGAAAGAAAATCTCCACAGTTTTCCCTTAAATTTTATGTCACATAAAGTGCAATGCTTGTATGTATATGTGCTTTCTTTATAAAGAAAATAAAGAGAATAAACCATATTACTACCTCATATTCTTAATATAAAAATTAGTTTGACTTTTAATTTGGTCTCAAATATAAGACTCTAATTTATTTTGTTTTTGTATATTTATCTATTTTTTTCAAATTAATGTTTGTAACAGTTGCACATGTTAAAAGTTTTATTAAATAGTAATTTTAGTCTAATACACATGATTACTAAAGGCATCCTAAAAAAGACCATATATTTATTATAAATAACTAATTTAACTAATTTTTTTAATCTTCCCATATTAGTCAACTAAATCTTATATTAAGGACCAGAAGTAGTATTTGTCAGAATGCCCTAATAATTATTTTGGGAAAGAAGTTCAAATATACAATTGAGTCATAAATAAAATATCACATTTTGTTCTACAAAACTGAATAAAAATAAATCTTGAATAAAAAACATTTGTTCTGGAAAAAAATTAGACTAAAGTATAAAGAGTTAAAATGCATCCAACATCTCAAAATATTTCTTTTAGATGCATCTAACACTTTAAAATATACTGTGATACCCAGCCAAGAATGGACATTGAAATTGGAAGTCAAATAAAACTCCTTCAAGACGTACCAGAGGGTTGCACTGGTTCTTTCCTGTGAGATAAACCAAACGGCTATGCGTACTAGTTTTAGATGAGTCGGGTTATCCTTTTTTAACCCGCTTGTTATTTTTCCTGTACTTTTTATTTTCTTTATTTTAACTCAAGCTCAGACTTGTCCCTATCTGTTAAAAAAAATACTGTACATCTTACATATTATTAATTATAATCCAGGCTGATGGCATCCATAATATGATACTTGAAAAAGAAAAGATATACTCAAGTTATGTAATATCTCTGGAGAATTACAATGAGATCTTAATAAAAAAAATTACTAAAAGATTCTAATAATAATTGAAGTAGTTTATAATGATAAGTTTTGAAGTAAAAAATAACAACATTTGAAACTCATTTTGTAATTATTTTTTTTTAAAACGTAATTATAATTCTCTCTAATTTCTTTACACGAAACTGAAATTCTTATCTGTAATTTAACTCAGTTAGTTGGTTGATTTTACCCATTAATTTTTTATGGGTTCGGTTATAAATAGCTTTAGGTATATTTTTAAGGTATGATCAAACCGGTTCTGACTTGTTTAACTTGCAAATTTTATTTGCCAATCAAGTTGAAAAAAGGCCCAAGCCCCTTTGACTCCGGAACACTGATTCTCACGGCGGTCTTATTCAATGTTGATCATCGGATCATTTTGACTGAACAACTCTTGTTGACGTGGAGAGATCACGAGCATTCATCCAACCAACTGTTGAGATTATCCCTCTCCCTTAAAAATCTCTCCCTCGAACGAAACGGAGAAATCCTGAACGGCCGGCAGGTAGGTGCTTGCCTTATCCCGTTTATGAAGAAACGTGCTCAAAAAATTCGCGAATCACGCGCGCTCTCAACCGCGTGCCTTGTACCTGTCATCCAAAAGCCTCAATTTTTCGATTGATCCAGCAATGAGGCTCCGATGACCACAGCGTCTGCAGTTGGGCAGCATTCCTTCCCGCTCACTCAATCACTCAGATGGCGAGTTTGTTGCCGGCAGTGGCAGCACTCACCACTGTCTTCCTTATCCTTGGAGAATTTGTTGAGACTTCACCGGCAAAGTTCGACGACCTCCTCCGATCACCGGCCGAGAGTTTGTGCCTTCAGCTTATAGTTCCCGCCGGTTATTCATGCTCCGAGATCACTGTACTTCCTTCGCATTATTCTCTATTCAAAGCTAGTAGTTTGATGTCACCAAAAAAAAAAAGCTAGTAGTTTGTTTGGTAGGAATAGCTGTTGCAACAGTTTGTGAGTGCAGAGGATAAACACACTGTAAAATCGAAAATTCAGACATTCAATCACTAGTGAAGCAGAATAAATTTGATCAAATATCTATCTATTTTTCCTTCGGGAATTTTGTAATTTTGATTTCTGAAGTTGAAGGAGTGGAAATTTAATATAGCTAATTTTTTCTTGCTCTTTTCCAAAATTTTGTTGGGAAAAAAAATACGTGAAGTATATGCGAAATATTTACAGAAATTACGTGCTTAAATGGGTTTTGCTGGCTTTGCTTCGTCATTTTACTCCCGCTCCTTCATCGGTAGTTTGAATCGGCTTTGCTTACCGAGACTTTGTCTTTTACCGTCAGATTCAAACCAAGGATGGTTACTTGCTGGCTCTTCACCGTGTCTCGTATTCTCATCCTGATAATGCGGGACAACGCGGTCCTCCAGTTCTGCTTCAACACGGGCTCTTCATGGTGAGCTTTCACGTTATGCCTACTCACTTGACATAAGACGCTATAGCCGAACTTGATGCTAATATATGACAACATGTTTTCTTTTATGAGGTATTGAAATCATGACAGCATCACATGCATGGTATATGAATTGGTTAAAAAACTCTATATTTTGTTACTTGCAATGACTTAATGGTAGTTTGGCTTGGCCAGAAAAAAGTGAAAACCGAAACAGTTACTCAGTTTGCTGGTGTGTATAATATGCAATTGTATAATTAAAAGGATAGCCCAACCTAATTTTTTGGGAGAGGAAATAGTTGATTATCAGGGATGAAAAACCAGCTGTTTGAATCATTGATGTTTAAGGGTTCATTATATGTTCTTATGTCTCTGCATATCTGGGTGATATGCTAGATGGGATACAATGTCCCTGTAATTGATGTCAAGGAATGAGTTTTGCAGAAGTATTAAGAAAGGTTTTCCAATTTTCTCTTACAAGGACTCTATAATGGGGAGGGCGCCAGGGCCGTGTTTCAAGCTAATTCATGAGTCAGTTGGAAAGGATTGTCTCTTCTAACTATAAACTTTTCAGAATGAAACAGTAGTAAACACTATGAACTTCACTTGGATTGATCATAAGTTTTAGACATGTTGCTTGAATTGGGAAGCAATATTTCATTTAAAATGAGTTTCTTTGTAAGATCTTTTTTCCCCCCACTACTCACTGAGATTTCATGATTTTTTCGGTGGCCACATTTTGCTATAATATGTTGTCATTTTTTTAGTGTCTTGCAAATTAAATTATATAATCACATGAATAGCTCCATAACCTGCTCTACAATAACAACTTACATCCAAATATGATACTTCTAAATGAAGTATGAATTTCTCTCAAGACTCATCTGATCTCACTTGACACCATGGTTGTATTTGATGCTTAAATGTTTGATTGTGCGAGCTTTTAAAATGCTTTAACTTATTCCAAATTTTTAGTATTTCCTTAGGTTTGGGATATGCTTTTTGAGTTTTGGCCAGTGCTAATATTTATGACTTTTATGGGATAGACTTTTACATCGTGTATGATATTTTCTTCATTGGGGGGTGCCAGGAGATAAAAGTGTAGATTTAAAGAATAGATTGATTGAACCTCAACATTTGTTCATTAATGTCAATTTTGAGATATGACCAGGCAGGTGATGCATGGTTTCTTAATGCACCAGAACAATCATTGGGCTTCATCCTAGCAGATCATGGTTTTGATGTTTGGGTTGGAAATGTGCGTGGAACACGCTGGAGTTATGGGCACAAATCCTTATCAAAGAAGGATAAGGTATGTAGAATAATGAATGAAGCTGATGACTATTACTCATTGTAAACAATGAAGATGGAATGAAACAGGAGAAGACTACTCTTTGTTTTCCTTTGTAGTTCCTATTTCTAGGTTTAGCAATAATGGCGATTATCAGAATTACAGAAAAAACAATGGCAAAGTAGCAAATTGTCGAGCCTGAGATTTTTTTCACTCATTGATCTTGAAAAGACCGTTGGTTATATTATGTATTGCTTATGACGAAAATTTTAATAGTTTCACTCTTCGCTGTCAAGTTATCTGAGATGTAATTGTGGTCAAGAGTCACACTCATTATGCAATAAGAATAATAGAACACTGGTTTTCTCACAGGAATTTTGGGATTGGAGTTGGCAGGAATTAGCCCTGTATGATCTTGCAGAAATGATTGATTACATACATTCAGTAACAGACTCAAAGCTCTTTGTCGTTGGGCATTCACAGGTATTGCTGATTGTTGCACAACATCCTTTACGCCCGTTTTGTGCTTGCTATAGTATGCATTTAATACATTTATCCTTTTTCAGGGGACAATTATGTCTTTGGCGGCCTTCACCCAGCCAGAGATAGTAAAAAAGGTTGAAGCTGCTGCTCTTCTATCTCCAATATCTTACTTGGGTCATGTTGATGCACCTTTTGTACTTAGAATGGTTAACATGCACATTGATCAGGTACAGGTCACTTCATTCTGTTAGTTTTGTCTGGAATTTGATCTTTGTGATGAGTAATGAGTATTGGTTTGTACAGATGATCCTTGCCATGGGCATTCATCAACTCAATTTGAGAAGGTTTTATTGTTAGACATTTCCTTTTTCTCCTTCATCTCTCTTTGCTTACATTCTTGTAATTTTATTTGTTTAGCACACGCTGATATTATGCAAT